AGGTGGGGTAGGTAAGTTTGAGAAACCGGCTCGAGATACATTTGTTGTTATATTCCATGGAATTCTCTTAACATCCCGATAGCAATGAATATCTGAAGTGCTTTGACAATAAATCCATGAAATAATTTCATCTGTGGAAGCTGTAGTACTGTAAAAAGCACGACCAATCATCTGAGCCGGCCCGGCTAAAGTAACTGGATGGCCTACCTGCATACTTGTCAACCCTCCCGATTTTCGCGGGAGACTCCCGATTTCATTGCCCTATCCCGGTTTCCTCCCGGGGTCATATTTCTCCCGCATTTCACCCGATTTCTGACAAAATCAGATTTACACACGACTGTTTCCACTCGGACTTTAATACAGCTACACCATTGTTTGGTTTCCATGGTAACACGTCTCTTTAGTAGCGCGCGCAACTCAAAGTCTGAGAGGGTGAGGCAGATAATCACAGAAAACAGAACAAGAATCAACAACTGCTCTACTCTCTGCTCACTCCTTTCCTGTAAAATACAGGTCCAGCCCACACATATGCTCCATCAAGGACGGTGCTACAGGCCAACTTAGAACTACAATAAGCAATTGTTAATGTTATCTAACAGCTCCGGCGATCCACTAGCACCCCCAATTTTGCATTTTGAAATGCTCCCGATTTCTGAGGTCTAAAGGTTGGCAAGTATGCCTACCTGCCTGTCAGCCTTCCATCTGTGCACAAACTTATCTCGTGCCCTCATTGGTCATGTGCGCGTTCGTGTGTGTTGGAGGAGGGGCTCTGGAAGGAAGTGGCAGATTTTTTCCGGCTGTGTATTTTCAAATTCTAGCGTACTCCAGCTGCACACATTAAAGCGTGACACAACTGTGACTTGGTGTGTAGGATGACTGTCCATCAGAATATCTATGTTTTCATGAATAACAGAAAGTACTAAATGTACTAAAAGCATTTTGGCCATGAGGGCATTTATCAGAGAAAGAGAGCTCTTTGTCTCTGAACGTCACATCCAATAGCTTTTGTGTTTAAGGATGCTTTCATGAAGATGATCATCCACACTAAAATGAAAATAGCTAAATCTCTTTTCTGCTCTGTATTCTGCAAAAAGAAAATAAACATTACAGCCATTATGAGGTCAAAACTAAAACCTAATCTAATGGTTCGGACATGTTTTTATGTTTCTCTTTCCACACAACCAAGCAAACTACTTCAAAGTGTTAGGATGCATCCACAGCCATTACATTGGAGTGAGAAATGCCAGTGAATTTGAGGCCAAAACGGAGAAAAGACGATCCTGTGGACTCACATAAACGCTCACAAGAGAAGGAATGATACAGTGAGAAAGTTAGGAGGCTGCAGCGGGGCGACTGAGCTCCAGAAGGCAGATGGGGAGCGACGGATGAAGAGAAAGTGAAGGGTTTAGAGTTTCATGCTGCTGTGCACGGATCAGCGTGATCCATGCACGATGGGCGATTCAATTACAGAGAGGGAGAGCTGGAAGAGGGAGAACTCAGAGAAGAAAGGAATGATACGACTGAAGGACGGGATGAAAGATGGGGAGGAAGAGGACGAAGGAGGCGTATCAAAAGATTAGGGAGAAGATGATGAAACATTGGAAGAATAACTTTGAAAACCCAAAGAGGAAGGAACTGACAATCTAGAAATGTCCTGAGAATAAAATCGTACCAGAAAAATGATTATTTCGTCTCTATTTTCACTTCCTGTGTCCGTCTCTCACTCTCTCCGTCTCAATCTGGACCTGTGCCAGCGTTAATTTGCCCCGGCATTGTGTGGCTCAGCGTCTCCTCTGGGGAAAAGCTGGCTTCGAACACAGGTGGTCGGGTTTCTCATATCACACACACACACACACACACACACACACACACACACACACACACACACACACACACACACACACACACACACACACACAGCAAAACTTGATAGTCCATAAATGTAGAGACAAGGCACAGGGACATAGCCTAATGCATGATTATGGTCAGAAGGGACAAGCTGTGTGTGTTTATGGTAATTGCATTTGTGCACACAGTCGGGTCCTGAATATGTTATTTTCTATGATTGTGCAGGAAAGACACGATCCTAAAGAGTGCTTGATTTCTAACCGCTGCAATCTGCATGTGGACTTTCTTTCACGAGAAGCACGGTTCTTCAGCCGGAGGCTGGAAAGAGACAAAGGTGAAGCCCTCTGGGGGAAGTGGGACATACAGCTAACACAAAGAGGTGATCACCTGTCTTTCACTTGATGTTTCTCAGTTTAAGTAAACAATGATTGCTACAATTGTACTTCGTGATGGCCTCGTTAGTTATAGCCGTGTTTCTTATCTTTATTTTGAATTGTTTTTGTTGTATGTATTTTTGTGATCTGTTCCCTCTGGCTTAAAGGTCCCCTATCATACTGTTCTTCAGCAATATATTACAGTATAGGTCTCAGATAAATCCAGAGCCTGTCTCTGATTGGCTGAAACAACAAACGGATCATTGCAGCATTACCCATAATCCCCTCTGTTTCAGCCCTGTTTCCAAAGTGCTGATTCTCTGTCTGCTACTTTAGATGAAAATAAGGAGCCCCTCCCCACGCCCCTCTGAGAGAGATTTGGTTACAAAGAACTCAATGGTGCTCTAGGAGGAGATTCAGGTTATAAGGTGTGTGGGGGGGGTTACCTTGGTTGCTGATTGGCTAATGGTTACACAAGACAAAACATCGTTATGACATCATAAAGTGGACAAAATCTGATCAGCTCATTTTCAGACAGGTTTTTATAGAAATTTTCTATAAAAACCTGTCTGAAAATGAGCTGATCAGATTTTGTCCACTTTATGATGTCATAACGATGTTTTGTCTTGTGTAACCATTAGCCAATCAGCANGCGAAACGGGAAACAAAAAGAGGTCTGGAGGACGGCCAAAACGAACAAACAGAAGGAGGGAACCTGAGCCAGCCACACCACGTACCGTAGGACCCAGAGCTCCCCCCCCCTAACCAGAAATCAAACATAAACCCTATGGGAAACAAAATAAAGCCGGACTACCAGGTCCTCCAGGCTAAACATAAACACATCTGCAAAAACACAGCCTAAAGGTCAAAATGGCAAAGAGACAATGTAGTGAGAGAGTGTCTCCTGGCGTTAGGATAGGCGAGACCTCCTTCTCCTCCACTTTCTCCTTATAACGCGGCTGAGTGGAATTAGGAAGGCGGAGCCAGGTGTAACAGTAACGCTGGACACGTTTAACTCATCGACCGCCATCTTGACTACGTTACTGTAGTGGATTAAGTCAACACCGTAGGCCTACAAATAAAAGCTATACACATGTTTTCTTTCTTCCAATATTTAGAACGTACCAAGATTTAAGATTCAAGGCTTTATAGTCATGTGCACAGCAGCTACAGTGTAGATATGGCATGAAAAACTTAGGTCACAGGCTCCTCCAACAATGCAACATGAATATATATCGGACCTAAAACAAATAAAATAGTCCAAGAGAATGTTTTGAGATGTGCAAGTAAATCGAAATAGTGCAAGAAGAGTACCACTATAGGTCTAGTGTGCAGAGTTCATCAATAATTATCTAGGGGTAAAATGAGAAGTCTGTAATCATTTCCTACCAACAACAAAAGATTGCTAGCTAACCGTGGCCATCGTCATCTGGTGAGGGCACAACAGCCATGTGAGATTTGAAACGACGCTACACAATTTAAAATCACACACTGAGCAGGTGTTAAAAGTGTAAGACATGCAGTCTACGAAGCAGAGTATCCAAATTAAGACTATTATGTATCATAATCTATTTTTTTTATTAGGCCAAGGCACTGTAGCCCATACCGTAGCACAATGATAAAAGTAAAGTTGGATTCAGGTACTTCAGGTAAGCCCTCAACAAGCCCTCAACAAGCCTTAATATGAAGTTAAGGCTTGTTTTTTGTCTGTGTCATTCTGTCATTCAGTGTGCATCTATTTTAAGGCCCTGTTTTGTCAAATTCTACCCCAGTTAAATGCAGTGTTGTTACTAGACAGGTGTATTCAAAATGCAGTTTACCCATGGCATGGATTTAAATAATAGAGGTTTAGACATGTTAATAGATGTTTCAGAATCAGAATCAGGTTTATTAGGTACGATACATTTGACTTGATGTCATGGTGCATACATAAAAGTAAAACAAATGTAAAACCCAAATAGCACAACATCATATCAGCTATCTAATACATAAATAAAAAACATTCTTTACATGTCTAAGATATTCCTGTGCCATAACTATGGAACGGTTAAAAAGTATTTCGTTGTCTCAAGCAGATATTTGGCAGACAGCTGGTAGGATATCGTAAATGTTCCCTTTCCTTCCTCCTGCAGAAGCTATTTACTGTCTGACTTCACACAAAGGCTTGTAGGCCCTCCATTGTATTGAACCCTCGTTAGATACAGAAAAGTGGAACGTAAGCGTGTTTCTGGTGAGAGGGAGCTATCATTACCTGTCAGATGGAAGGGCTTGTTCCTTTGAAACGGGATGGCTACTCCAAATGACTTATGCTTATTTGCGCCCCCACATCCCTCCCACTCCTCCGCTCTCCAGTCTACTTCCTCCAGGCATGCATTTCCTCCTCTCCATTCACATGTCAGTTCCTCCCTCCTCAATCCTTCCCCTCGAGATTTATTCAGGAATACGAAATGAAATCCTCTCGCACTTTTGACTTGTATTAAACGCCTTCATTCAAGATCAGGCTTGCGGAAAAGACTTCCACTGAGGAGGTGTCAGGGCAGTCAGTTAACATGTACACTCGACTTAGCCCCTTCATCATAACACACGTGATGTGACCTGACCTGTCAGACGGTAAACAAAATGGAGGAGGTTACAGACCAAAGAGGTTGGTATTAATCCTCATGGCCTCTTCACGATGACAAAAAGAGGCTTGGGCCCCTCTATGTCTCTTATGCTACTCCATTATGGGTCACATTAACCCTCTCCACGTCCACTCTTAGCATCAAACTTCCAGCAAGTTCTGAGTTTGACGAGTGTGGAGGCATTCAAATGAGATGTCTGCAATTTTCTCCTCATGGGGGAATTTGCATCAGGCTGAGTGTCCTTCAGAGTAGTCATAGCCCAGCGCCCTGCTTCAGAGCCAAGTCATGATTAAAGGAACAGTCATCAATCGAGCAACAACATCCGTCTCCCCTGTCGTCTAGCGTCATACCTTCACTGTTATTTCTGATTATTTATGATTAGATTAGCCATCAGTGCCAGTCTTTATGCAGTTTGATTGACATTGTATAAAACTCACCCCTCAGTGCATTTGAGAAACAGCTGACTGCGGCTTTAAGACGAGGTGTGTTTGTGAGACTGATGAATCAGCGTTGCATTCAGCAGCCAAACAGATGTTGTTCCCCTCCTGTTAGCAGAGAAATGCCTACGGTGTCCTGCACGGGACATTTGGCACCCTGATGTCTGTCATCATTCATCGTGAGAGGGTTTCCAATAACAAGGGCAGGCAGGGGGCATTTTTGGAGCACATTATCCACAGAAACGCGTACATAATGCATGGTGCTGCCACGAGGCACGCGAGGCCGAAAGTGGCCCTGCTCAGTGTGAGCTTTCCTGGATTCAGACCGAGAGAATCTGGTCATCAAATGTTTGGGATGCTGGTACATGTCTGAGCAATGCCTTTGGCCTGTGGGCGTTATGTTGATATACGGAGCTTTCAAAGTTGTGGGGTTTATATCGTTGCTCTTTGTGGCCTCGGAGAAAGATAAAGAAAAATAAACTCCTTTGGAAAAATATCCTTTTTTCTTGCTCTGAAAAGCCAGCCGCTGCCTGTGCCGTCTCCTCGGCTGCAGCAGAGCAGCAGGCTCTCACTGCAGAGTGCGCAGGATACATTTACGTCCTGCTTTCTTTCATATGATAGTCGAAGGGTAGCCGTATTAATGCGGGGGAAATGGAGCAATGGAGGAATAAGTAGAGACAGATAGACAGAATGAAAGCATCAGCTCTTTAACAGAGGGGTCCTCCCATGGGAATATGTAAATAGTTTCATTTAAGTGCTTGAACTAAAAGAGACGTGAGGGTGAGTGAGAGTGCCATTAGCAGGGAATAGATGCATACTGGTAAAAAAAACTGTGCTTCTATAAGCAACGATTTCCTGCGTCAAACTTCTGCCCTGTCATTTAATGATACGTAAAAGCCATCTGGTATTAAAAGTAGACAGATTAAACACGCCTTTATTAGGGTGAAACTATTTAAAAATGTAGCCTTATAGCTGATGCAATTCAAAGTCAGTAGTGCAGAACCTAAAGTAACAACGTAGGTCCTGTGGTGCCACTTATAATCAACTTTTTCGGGTTGTGACGACTTGTGAAAGGATGTCGAAGAAATGCAACATTTTGGGTCATGAATTACTATTACAATTATCCTCCTTTTTAAATGTAATATTCAAACCTTGTTCCCCCTCATCCTCCCTCCTTGTCAGGGCTGTGATGACTCCACTCAGCATGTGTGGCTTCCTGGTGTTTAGCAAAAATAAAAAC